CCTTCTCCTTCGTTTTTTGAACGTACTTCTCTTTGTGAAAATCGAAAATTTTGCAAACAGGCGGCTTAGCATGTCTATCAACCTGCAGAATGTGAGTAGAGTATTTATAACGAGAATGATGCATAGTTTGCAAATTATGAGCTCTTCAAAAAAAAAAAAAAACCTTTTTATATATAGCATAATGATATTCATTATGTTATCACAGCACAGAATTACAGTCGTAAGCAAGATTGACTCAAAACATATAAACATTACCTCAACCAGATCCATCTTTAGGTTTCTCGCACGGGTCATTGCTTCATACCTCGATACCACACAGTGACCTGTAAATGGACCATGAAAACGAAAAAGATTTTCTACTTAAAAAAACATGCACTTATAAAGAAACATGCTTTAACTCCAATGTTTTACATATTAGTTTCCACCAAACTTACAAGCTGCTTCCTATCAGTTCAAATACATTTCACTATGAAACAAACCGTCGAGCTCCATCAACAATAATCAGTTCAATTGCAATAATTCATCACTGGTGAGGCTTGTTTTAAATTTGTTTGAGCATAAACCAACTTTTGGGCCTTCATTACGAAATCACTAAAACAAAGTCGAGTTCAACGTATCACATTCTTGTGGCAAGATAAATTCAGGTTCAGTTTAATAACACACATAAACTGCAAAATCTCCATACTGATAATACCCCAGCCAACACCCCCAAAATTATGATCTCATAGAAAACATTACACCTCAATAAAATAACATAACCCCATTAAACCACAGTCTGAACCGAAAAAACACAGAAAAATACAGGTAGATCGTACGCACACACCTTCATCACTAACAAGCCTAACCATCGGTGCTGTGATTTGCTCATTCAACCTCGGCCCACTTGGGTCATCATCTTCCTTCTTCTGAAAAGACTGAAATTTGCAGCTCCAACAAATAAATATACGCAGTAAAAGAGAAGAGAAGAACTCTAGAAACAACACATACTGAAAAACAAGGTAACCACTATATAAATGAAGCTGAAGGCACGAGCTTTTCAAAAAATTACCTGAGCAGGTTTCGCGTAGAATCTGACACCTAGAGGCCCGAGTAGCCCGCCCGGTACTGCTAAATCGGGTTGACCTGAAGCCCGGTTCTCTGTGTGTGGAATAATGTGTTCATTGGCAAGGATTGTACCGTGATTTACAGTGAAGAATCTCTTGTGTACGCTCGTGAATATATGAAAATTAAGCTTCGACTGTCTCAATCTAATCCACAGCGCCATGGCCGCTGGCTAGATCACGAATTTCTGATTAAAAAGTTGAGTTGATTTTGCACACTTGCAGAGAACCCGTAATCGGCCATCTATTGTGAGAATTTGGGGAAGAAATGGAACAAATGGGCTCCTTCTGGACCAAGAAATCCAAGTGGGCTACATTGGGCTTTACGACCTCTGTCCATTACCAAATTGAGTCCTGTCCATGTCATTGTAAGGCTACCATGGAAAGTGAATTTAACAAATTTATGCAGCTTGGTTTATATAATCGAATTTTTTAATAAGACAATATGTAAATCATTATCAAAATCTAGCATTTTTTTTTTTTGAGCTTAATGTAAATTAAGAAATAATATTTATCTTGATGAAGTTGGAATATCGAATGTTAAAATTGACGAATTGGAGATCGTTGGGTCATACACCTGCATAAATACCCAAGGAGTGTTGATCCAACGGTCAAAAACTCGACTATGACAATATGATCAAATTTCCATCAAAACTCGACTATGACAATATGATCAAATTTCCATCAATATTATACAAATGAAGCTATATGATACTATTCAATATGAATTAAGTTCAACCATATAAGTTTTCAAACAATTACTGCGCTCAATTTTTTTTTTTTAATTTGTGCTTTTAAAAGGTACAATGAAAAATAGTTTAAGAAAAAAAAAAATGAAACGTCCATGACCAATACAATAGCCACCTCACATTTAAGTATCACTACCCTCATACGCATCCCTATAAATGGGGAGGTGTCCAATGGGCCGAAGCTTCTTGGACATATCCCTCATCACCCCCTTGGTGGCCCAATGAAGCCCGCACGCATTGCATAGGGTCTTGGGCCCGTCGGGACCCCTCCTCATCATTGGTGTCTCCCTGGCCCGTATCCCACAAAGGCCACACCGTGTTGGACCAGTCGGGCCCTCCTCCACTTCAGTCGGACCCAATGGGTCGGCACTCTTGGGCGCAAATTGTCCCCTCCTCCGCTTCATTCGGACAGCCACCTCGTGTCTCACGTTGTACCTTATCCTTTTCTCGTAGCACCTTAGGTCTCGCTTGTGTCTGTACTTGTTTAGGCACTCCTGACGATTGGCGTCTGTTATTCTAGCTCGAGACTGGGGCTCGACTTTTTGGCCGAACGTGAACCCACCGAGGACCAAAAGAGCTGCTTGGACTTTTTGCGTGGGGACACAGTCGAAGATGAGGAGCCGGTCTTTGAACGATAGGGTGATGCGATGTGTCAGGTCGTTTTCGAGCAAGTGGTCGTCAGCTGGCGGGGCAATATCGGTCGACATTTTTTCTCTTTTGATTAATTCACTTGATGAGGAATTAATATGGAGTTTAATTTGGCCAATGGTGTGAATTTGGTACTATTGTAAAGAAGTTTATGAACTTGTGACTGACGTACAAAATGCATGCCTTGTAACGTGGTGATGTGATTAGTCCACTTATAGCCGTGGATGAATGCAACTTATTGGGAGATGAAAAATTAAGGCATATTTTCGTACGTACCGAGATGAAGTTCTTGAAAATATCTAAAAATGTTTACCACATTTGTATGGGAATAATAATGTCTAGAATTTTGTTCTACTGTTGGTGTTGTAATACTCGAAGCTAAATATACCTGTCCCAGTATTTATTAGTCGTATGTGTTTGAATGTCGAATAAAAATAGTTCATCCTTTTAACTAATAACTAACTAATATCATAATCATTTGATCTAATTAATGGAACGCATGCTTCATATATATATATACATATATAAATTAACATGTGTGGCAGCACTTGTTACAATAGGTATGCCACTTTTATATTTTTTATTTATTGAGCTGATTTGGACATTAGTGTATATAATAAAATAAGACAATTGATGTTAAACTTGAGATAAAAGTAATTTTTACAGTATATACTAATGGTCTAATATCCTCGTATTTAAATGTCATGTTTTAGAAAGATAAACATACATTTTATATTTAAAATTAAATATAACACATATATTTATGCACACATATACAAAGACATCAAAGAATTGAGTGTCTCTCCAGTAGATGAGGGAAAAATAATTGAACTCTCAACTAGTAGTCCCTTTCGTATACCAGTTGCCAATAAATAAAAAATAAAAATAAAGGAGAATATTATCATCTTGGTACGAAATAGTTCCGTTATATTTTGTAAATGTTGGATTATCTACACATTATCAGGTTATATTTACGGCTAAAAAACATAACATAACCATCCGTAACACGATGTTAGTATTCTCCAAAAAGAAATACCTAATAATTGCAAGAATAAAACCAATGAAGGGCCTTAAATTTATTAATATTATTTTTTGTAACATTAATTGTAATACAGCCCAATAAGGAGGTTGGGCAATTGGGCTCCATAGTGGGACTTTACTGAAATAAATTATTGGCGAAATTTTATATATACTTAGCGCAAATAAAGTATTTATAAAAATACCATAGAATGTTATTGTATTGCATTCCTATAAAATAGGGATGAAATAATTGCAGATATGCCAGATGCAGTTACAAAATCTGAACAGTTGTAACCTATCAGTTATTATGAAACGGCTTTTCACGTGAAGATAAAAAAGATAAAAACCAACATTGAAAAGGAAATAAATTCTGATATATACGAAAAATATACAGTATATATATTTGCAACTATACAAACAAAAAAAAAGTATAAATATACTATACATATAAAGCATATATATACAAAAGATATACAAAAAATATACATCAAATATTTTTATGTACATATGAAAAATAAATAGTATATATACGAAAAATATACAAAATATATATTTGCAACTACACAAACAACCAAAAAAAAAATAAAATATACTACACATATAAAGCATATATATACAGAAGATATAAATAAAATATACATCAAATAGTTGTCGAGTTTGGGCACAACACCAGATCTAGGTGTCATATCCAGATTTCATGCGTTTCCACAATCGCCATACACGAAAAACCACAGCAGTCGCCTCCGCCGTGGCCACCACTCTCCGGCAGCCTCTCTCCTTACCGACAAAAAGCAAGCCCCTCGGGAAAAAATAGCAGTCCGTGAACTCTCTCCCGTCCGTCCGTTCACCTCCCCGATCGTGTTCGTCGAGAAAAAAAAAACGGCGAACGCAGGCGTTGGAATATGAGGAAGAAGAGATGAGATTTTTTGCGTGTAGTATGGAGGTTGTTCAGTTTTTTTGGGTAACTGCATCAAATATGGTGTAATTGTAATTAAAAATATAATATTAGTTAATTGTGCAAAAAGATTTTAATTAACTGTAATTTTGCAATATTTATGCTAATATATCGTGCAGTGTATAATTTTCTCTAAATTATTAGGTAATGTTACATGTTTTTGTTATACGTTTATTTTTTCGCCACTTACAGTCCACAATACGGCTTCCAACAGCTAAAAGTACATTTAATCCAGTAAATGCATTGTGTTTCTGATTTAAATATATGATTATTAGAATGTAAATGTAAAAAGTTCAAACTGTAAAATAAAATGTAACTATGTTATAATATCACTTATGAGTTGTCTCACATTATTTATGCAGAAAAAATAGACCTAAATTATAAGTTAGTGGGTTACTCGTCCTCCCACCGATTGATTTTTGGATGAAATCTCACTTGGGCTTCATTTGGTCTCACCCTGTTATGATGCGCCTCACGTGCGTGAGACCACACCTGTGTACCATGAAAAGGTAGGAGTAAGATTAAGGTGTAATTAAAATCGGGCCGAACTAAAGCTTCTGATACTCGAACTAAGACTAAGGTCTTAATCTTATCAGTTCGTTTAATAAGCTCTTGATACTCAAGCTAAGACAAATGTCTTAATCTTATCGGTTCGTTAGTCAAACGATCCAAACACGAGCTTTAACGAACGAGTTATAAAAATTTACACAAACATTTATTTTCACGATTGTAACAAGTTATGTTACACTTCTGTCATTAATTAAACGAGCTCGAACATTAACAAGCCGAGCTGAACTCATGAGCGATTAATTTTGATTAGCAACTACAATAAACTAATACAAATGGCTTCTATATCCAATGCCATTGGGTAGAGTACTACAACTACAGCACAAGGGACAACTTTTTCCTCACTTTTTTGCATGAAATGTAATTGTCAAATAACCGCGCTTGGCTTGGACGTAACGAAAGAATTTTTAAAAATAAGACCTCCAGCGTGGAGAGTAGGAGACTGGAAGTATGGTGGATTTCGGACAGCTACAATCGAGCAATGGCAGATTATAAACGTGCTGGTGCTGTGGTGCATGTGACACGACAGATTCGGTGGTGCCGTCCGGAGCCGGGCTGGGTGAAGGTTAATTCTGATGGTGCGGTGAATAACGGTACAGGTACGAGTTCTGCTGGAGGGCTAATTCGTGATGAAGACGGCCATTGGCTTGCAGGTTTTCTATTTAATATCGGGTCATGTACAATAACGAGTGCGGAGTTGTGGGGCTTGTTTCAGGGTTTGTGGTTGGCATGGGAGAAGGGTTATCGTAGAGTGGTTGCGGAGGTAGATAGCCTTTGTGTGAAAAAGTTGGTTTGTGATTCAGAGAACGTGGTGGGACCCCATGGAGCTTTGATTCGAGCTATACGTGACCTTCTTCATAGGGATTGGAGTGTTCGGATCCATCATATATATAGGGAAGCGAATTTCTCAGCCGACTTTTTGGCAAGCTTGGCGGGTTCTTATCCGATTGGTCTTCACTGCTTGGACACTCCTCCTACCGGGCTCGGTGTCTGGCTTCATCACGACGTTGTAGGGGTCGCGTACCCCCGACTAGTACTTCCTTAGGCCCCTTGCCTCCATTATTGTACCAAAAAAAAGTGAACGGAGCGCTAGGAGTATAATCCATTTGGCTTCGTTTTTTTTTTTTT